AGTCCTGACCGAGCCTAACCGAGTTCGAGAGGCTCGGTACATCCCTAAATTAAACTAAAAAGTTTTATAGGATGAGCGCAACTATTTGCCTTGTATCTTCTGCAATTCTATAATTGACATATATACTGGAATCGAATTTCTTCATCTAAAATAGTGCTCAGGTACTTTCAAGATTCGAAAAATTTTCTATTAATATTGATTACCAATAGATAAAATATGCAAGAAAAGAAAGGATAGTTATCTGTTATCATTTGATATCAATTTTTCATATCGAAGTTAAATGTTTATTATATTTTTTAGGAAAATTAGGTAACCTTGAACAAGCTGAAAAGATCTTTAACTCAATGTCTAAACATAATATTGTTTCATACAATATATTATTGAATCTATATGGTCTATATTATCAATCAGATAAAGCTTTAAAAACTTATCATCAAATGTGTCAACAAGGTCATCAACCAGATGATAAAACATATGTTCTACTTCTTCATACATTAAGTCAAACACCAAATAAAATTAATGATGTCAAACGAATATTTTCAACTATTGAAGAACATAAACGTGGACCTATGGTAACAGCAACTATGATTGCTGCTTTAACTCGAGCACAATTATTTGATGAAGTTAATGATTTATTAAAAAAATTGCCAAAAGAAAATATTTTATTCTATGCAATGAAAGCAAATAGTAATGAAACAAATGAAAAATTTCATTATCCAATATCAATAACAAATGAACAATTAGCATTGTATGATTTATTAATGAGTAATATTTATACATATGCTGGTTTACATGATCGATTAACAAATGTCGATGAAATTTTATATGAGAATAAAATATTAAAAGATCGTTTATCATATTCTTGGTTTGAAAAATCAAATGGAAAAATTGAATATTTCAAAAGTGAACAATTACAATTAAAAACATGTGAACATACAGAAAAACTTGCACTTATAAATGCTTTAGATGAACAGAAGAATAGTTCATCACCTATCCTTATTGTAAAAAATCATCGAACATGTACTGAATGTCATGATTACTTTAAAAAAGTTTCTTTATCTTCTTCTCAAAAAAAAATTTATTTACGTGATTCAACTCGTTTTCATATATTTTCAAATGGTACTTGTTCTTGTGAAATTTCTTCGTGAAATGTTTGTTTTTCATTCTGATCCTACACACCTATCAAAAGAGTACGATTACTGATATTCTAAACATTTTTGTTTGTTTCAGATATTTTATGAATGATTAATGATTAAAAATAGTAGCAACATGCAATATGTTACTAAAAATTCGAATCAACCACGCACACCAACAGAATTAACAAATAATATTTTGCCAGCTTATAAATCTGGTTGGCTTTATAAACGAGGTATTTATAGAAAAAAAGATTTAGTGCAAAAATCTTTAACTCTGACATCAGTCAACTTTCGGAAAGTACGATATTTAGTTTTGATTGATACGAAGGAAGAGAAGATCACGTAAACATTATGATGCATAACTAGAGATGTGCGAGACCAAGTTTTCGTAGTTTCGGTTCCGGTGGTCGTGACCGGAGGGAATTGACAAATGTCCTATTGGCGAATGTCTTATTGGCGAAGGGATACTAAGCCGATCGAAGCTGGTCCAGCACCGGACATGACCCAAACCCAAACTGTTTGAGTTTGGGTTTGAGTGATGTTTATCCCGCACATCTCTAGTTATGATACTTTTGCATATGGTACCATATTTGATATTTTTTAATGATCATTTTTATTCTAAATAATACTTAAAACATTGAAATGAAAGATTTGTGTAAACTGATCTTTATATGAATATTTAATTTATTATCTTTTAAGGTGAACATATAAAAACTTGGCGTCCACGTTATTTTGTTCTTCTTCATGATGGACTTTTATATGGATATAGAAAACCGCCAGCTGCCAATGATAATCAACAAGAGGAACCACTAAATAAATTTCAAGTTATTGATTGTACTGTTGTTCGACAAGACAAAATAAAACAAAATGCTTTTGTTATACATTTTAATCAAATGAAAATAGAACGATTATTTGCTGCAAGTAGTCAACAAGATCGGTAGATAAAGATTTTTCCTCTATTCCTTCTATTTTCCTATAAACTTTTTATTAATTTTAGTGAAGAATGGGTAACTGCAATTGAAATAATTACTCGACAAACAACTCCTCATTTACAACATCAATTACCAACTATGAAAATGGTTACTAATGATAATGCAAATAATGTTGAGAATGAATATCCTGCAATGAATGAAATATTTACACGACGACCGGTAAGATAAAAATCAGTTATAAATACAAAAATTAATATTTTTGTTTTCCACAAAAAAAGCAAATAAATGATTTTGAATATTTAAAAATACTTGGTCGTGGTACATTTGGTAAAGTAGTTTTATGTCGTGAGCGAACAACGCAACGAATATTTGCAATGAAAATGTTACGTAAAAGTCTTGTTGTAACAAATGTAAGAAGAAAAAAAGCTTTTTTAAATTGATTATTTATATTCATATATCTAGAATGAAGTTATACATACAATGGGTGAGAATGAAATTTTACGTCGTATTAGACATCCATTTATTACAGTAATTTAAAAATTTTTATTATTTTGTATAAAATTTTTATGAAATTAAAATAGAATTTAATATGTGCATTCACAACAAGTGATCGTCTTTGTCTTGTTATGGAATGTGTTAACGGTGGTGAATTATTTTTTCATTTAAATCGTGAAAAACGTTTTACAGAAGAACGTACAAGATTTTATATATCGGAAATATGTTGTGTTATTGGTTATTTACATTCCAGAAAAGTTATTTATCGTGATATTAAAGTAAAAAAAATATTTCATATTCTCACATATTTCTTATACTTAATTAGTTGGAAAATATTCTACTCGATCGTTTTGGTCATATCAAACTAGTTGATTTTGGTTTATGTAAAATCAATGTTCCATTTGGACAAACAACTGCGACATTTTGTGGTACACCACAATATATTGCACCGGAGGTATTATAGAATGAATTAATAATGTTATTCATTTATATTGAGTGCAGGATGTACGCCTAGATGAAGAAATTGTTTTCATCAAGAGTGACTTTAATTCTCGGAAATTTGGATGAATAGATCATTAAAACTAAACCCTGAGGTGGTATTTTGAAATTGAATAGATAAACTCTTCAAATATGACAACATTAGCTCTAATGATGGTTTCCTAACGTTTTCATATATTTTTAAGAGGCTTTGTCATAGATCAACTATAC